TATATATATATATATATATATATATATATATATATATATATATATATATATATATATATATATATATATATATATACCAGATCATAATTTAATAATGCACAAAGTGTGCATAAAAGTAACATACAAACACACACCACATTATATATTAACAATTTTGAAAGGATGGTAAATTATATATAAAAACTTACATCTCATTAATTTTGTTACAATTGATATATAATTTATATATGTAAATATTTATAATATTTAAGGAAAAACATTAAAATTATCAAATTTTAATTTGTTAATCTTCTAAACCAATGTTGTCTCCTATCTGGTTTTTTGCAAATCATTTCTATCATTTTTACAAGATTTATCAATTTTAATGACATTGGTGAGATGTAACTTTTCATATATTTACCTAAAGAATTTTTCTAGAAGTAGAAGAACATATGTAAAAAACATTTAAATTTCTCATGTTTCACTTATTTGACTTCATTTCCGACTTATAGTTTTGTGTTTCGACAATTCTTATAAACTGTGCTACAACTTTTACATATTTATATTGAAAAAAAGTATTTGGGATAGCTTCCTTGGACTTCAATAGGAATCTCTAATGTCTTCTTATTGACTTTTTGATATGTTCAAGTATTTTATTTATTATTCCAACATGCTAGAAATCTTACCTAACACGGAAACTATTAAAACACAGAATCGTCTCTAATTCGAAAGCATGATAAAATACCGCAAATGCTACATAAACTTTGCATTATTTTTGCAAAATTTGTTTATAAAGATATGCTCATATTTAATGAAACACTTTGTATAGTCTAATTTTATAATTTTAATTATAAATATTAAATATAAATAAACGTCAGTGTGCTATACTACAGTGCTATACTTTCTGCAATAATTGGTATAATCACATTTCAGTGGTGTTATTTTGTCATGCGGCAGTTATATTTCCAATGGGATTTCATATTGATGAAATTGGTGGGCAACCGTATCAATTACCTAATTCGCATCAAGTTGGAATCTCCTACATTTTGTTTGTCCTAGCTCTATGGATCACTGTAATTTCTGAACTTTTTGCGGGCAAAGTCTGTCTGCCGCATTTTTAGCATTATACTCCGGTACGAATACTTTTTGACTTTATCCTGTTGACATGTATATTTATAGTGTGTAGTAATATCTATCTCAATGGTATATAGAATTATTTATACTCAGTAAAACTATATTGTAAAAATATGAGAAGTATTACATTCCTGTATTATATATGACAAGATTAGGTTAAAATATTATAAAAATCAGCTACATTTACTTTCAATTAGAATAATTAGATGGTTTAAGGGTATATTATAGAAATAATATATTAAGGATGTACTATAAAAGTATATTGTAACCTTAAGGGAAAGTAGTAAATAAACAAATAATATTGTTATATGTATGTACATATATATTAGACAGTATATACATCTCTTAGTCGCAACTCAATTTTATATAACATATGTACAGTTTTATATTTTTGTTATAAATTCTTAAAATCTATTTATAAAACTCTAAATGGATGCGAATTATGTGTAACTCACCTTATTACAATTATACTCAGAATTTTGTTCAGACTGTTTTGTATTACCTACATTATGAACATATGCAATATAATAGATTGCACAGTTTTTGTAAAATAGAGAAACAAAAGATCAGATAAATGACACAGTCTGAAAAACTTTCGGTTTCCACTTATTTATTATCATTTCCTATTTAAACTATTGCTCTTATACTTTCTGCAATTATGATGGAAGTAACAAAAAGTGATATTTATCTGCTTGAGGCCCGTTTCCACAATTTAATCTAAGTTTAACTCGTTACAGGCCTATTCAGATAAACGTATATAGTATATGTGCACAAGAAAATTAACCAATTGTGTGTCTAATATAAAAGACATCTTTCTGCAGAGGTCATACTTGATTAATTTCTGCAGGGATCATACTTGGTTAATTTCCTTATGCATACGCAATATGTGATTATGCAAGTTTGTGTGGATAAACCTTTAACGAGTTAGATTCTGGTTAAAGTTGTAGGAACAAAGTTTTGTGTTTTAATTTTACTGATATATATTATTCAATAATGCAATCTACATTGAAAATAAGTGGAATTTCTGTAGTTTCGCATGAGTTGATTAACTATAAAGTCACAAAATACTAGCTAAGATAATCTTTAATCGTAATAATAAAGAAATTTTGTTGAACACTTTTGAGGTTTAAAACAGTATATGAATATCGCATATTTAGTAAAGATTAATTACAAAACGCACAGTATATAATCTTACATAAAATTTATTTATGATAAAGTCTTTCAATGCTTCATCTTGCCAGTATTTTTCACATATTGAAATGTTTTACAGATGCTTAATGAGAAAGAGATCTATGTTAAGATCCAGTCAAATAGAATATATGTATATGATTTATTATATACACATGATTTGTGAAAATGCTATAAAAATGGTAACGCGTATATTGGAAAAATAACTGGCAAGAATGGAATTAAATATTCCACTGTACAGAATGATCATATAAAAAAATAATCTAGAGCTCACGTCTCTCGTGAGTTTACGTATATAATCGCGTTTACATTTCTCTAAATTCTATACATACGATCTCGTATAAGCGCGTCTGTCCAAACCTATCACATTTTTGCTAGTTTCCTCGGAGTATTTAGGAAACTAATAATTCATGATATAAAAGGTAAAAGTACTAATTACATTAACTCTGGACATTCTCATTATTTTGGTCTTTAAATACAAATAGTTTAGATATTTGTATTAAGAACGAAAACAATAACAATGTTCAGGATTAAGTACGCATATTCAGACATTGGTACTTTTACTTTAATAATCATATTTAGAAATAATATATATGTGCATATATATACATATATTATATACACTCGCTTATATATATATATATTCGCTTACACAGTAGTCTCTTTTAGTACTTTATAAATTGTAACATATAAAGTTATATAATACATAACGTGTTTAGATCCACTAAAAACATGAATCTAAATTAGAACACTATTATAGCCTTAACTGTCTATGCCAAAACTCGGGACGCGTTGCATATTTCGATTGTAGATTTTTGACTTGCTATCTAGCATTATTCTGCTCACCTTATCACTCAGTGCGTAACCTACGAGCCGCTTGAGATTTGGGAGATTTGTGTGACTTATAAATATGTTTTTAATAATGAAAAGCTAATACATGTTTACAAGTTATATACGCTCCCAAATCTCGAGGGGTCGTAGATTGCGCGTCGGCCAATGAGATAAGTGGAATAACGTTAGACGGAATAAGAGTCGAAAGTTTGCAATCGAAATGTGCAACGCGTGCCGTGCTCTGCTCTATACCGAATTTACAATTCGAGAAAACTGTGTATAGTCTTTTAGTAACAACCTCCGTAGAAATATATTGTGGAAAGACGGTAAATTAAACAGAAATATTCTCTTTTTTTATTTTTAATGGACAACAAATTTTTTGTATTTTTTTTATAGAAATAACAACAAGAATTTCCTATAATAAGATTATTTACTATGAGTATTATTACCTATTGTATCACATCGGCGATAATACAATAGATAAGGTACTCGGGGAGGTACTGGATTCAAAACAATATCTTCGGATATTGCTTTTGCGGAGGTATCGTCATATCTCACCCAAGTTCCATAACCGACGTGGAAACAGTCTGTCACATAATGACCTTTCGTTGCTTCCTTTCCGTCGTGATAGGTCACCGCAAATAATTTATATTGTTTTTGTTTCGGCAACAACTTTCTTGTATTTGCCGATAGGAATTCTGTAAAAAAATAAGAAAATTTTCTATATTTGTATATTTTATATATTGTATTCTGTATATTGTATATACATCAAATTATGGTATAAAAATAGAATTTAACAAAACTGTTTCATATACTTACTGTTGTCAATTTTAAGGTCAATCGGAAATTCTACTGCTTTAATTAGTTTGGAACATCCGTTATATTTGTACACAAACCATTTTAAATGCAGTATTAAAACAGCAGGTAACTCTTCCAGCGTTACCTGCTTCCAAGCCTCGATTTGTTTTTTCGTTTTAGAGCAAGTCATACCTTCTAATCTGTCCTTGCTCACAAGAATATCAAGGGCTTGTTTCACAGAGTCAGCTTTCTGTAATAATTCAGTTGTATTAGATATGCTCTTTTTTATTTTGCGTTATAAATTGTTCATTAAAATAGCTTGACTCAGTCAATAAATGTTAATATAATAATATTTTGCAACATGGAAAAATGTATTGTTACATGTAATGTTCACAAATAAAGACATGTAATGTCACAATATATAATGTAATGTTCACAAATAAAGACATTTTTATTGAAATAATTTTAAATCTTATAATAATAAATATTTTGTGATTCATAATACCAATAAGTCTCTTGGGAGTTTAACTTTGAAAAAAATGCATTAAAATTTTTTCTAGCTATTTAGCCTTTTCTTTCTGTTTTGTTATTAGAAACATTATCTAAGTGAACTGATTTGTTGTAGGAAATACAATTGTAGAAAATACAATAAACTTTATCACAATAAGAACAATAAAAATTTAAATAAATTAAATGAATAATTTAAAAAATAAAAAAATTTAAATAAACATTTAAATGAAAAAAATTTAAAAAATTTATTTTTTAAATATTTAATATAACAAATAACATACATCTACACACACAAATATCTGTGTTCTAACTTATATTAGAACTTTATTTATAATTTCTTTAGATTTTTCTCATAATAAGTTACTTCAAGTTTTATCTTTCAAATTAAATTGTACTAACCTCAATATCAAGTTGTAAAGTAAAAAACGGTTGTACGTTATCGGACGGTTGTTCTCCAGGACGTGATACTCTCGACCGTAATTTTCCTCGGAATATATCTGACAATGGAGTCCGTTCTAATTCCGTAGATCTGGTAATAGAACCTTTATTTTTTGGTCCTATTACCCTCCATTCCTCTTCCTTCCCATCATTTTTCTCCGTATCGATGTCATTGTTCTCATTCTTAGCTAATTTCATCAACTAAAAGGTAAGAGTGTAATTAGAAAATTAGTTTTCTTAGTATAATATTAAGAATTTGTTATAAGCAAAATATGTGTAAAGACATACATCGAGCATCTCGTCGTTGATAGCATTTAAGAGACATGATAAAAACTCTTCTGCATCTTCCTGTCGTCCTTCCACGGGAAAGACACCGGCAGAAGAAGTGTATTTTAACATCGTATACATGTAGGAAGGTTCCAAAGCAATGCCGTTCTCGATAGTGATGTCATCTTTTTTATCAACTCTGGTTTTTCGGGACAAACGAGATTTATCCGGCAAGAGGCTGAATTCATGAATAAATCTTACCCTGTTTAAGAATAAAAGAATAGACTTTTTGTATTTACAGCAATTGTGTGAAATGCACTTGCAACTAATATAAAATTAGCGTTTATAATACTAGAACTCTCGAAAGAAAATCACTAACAGTTGGATTGTGGATGCCAGTAACTCGAAGGAAAATGTCGGGTAGAAGTTTCGGGCGAAACAGGACAACATTGTATCTTGTATATATACAAAATCAATATTTACAATCAAGAACATTGCTGAGGGATTTTGTAACTTGTTAACGACAGTTTCGTTATCGTTGCGCAGCTTTTCTATGCTATACATAAGCTGCGCAACAATAATGAAACTATCCTTAACGAGTTACAGAATTCCAGCACATATTTTTCTCTCTCTGGGAATTAAAGCAAATAATTATCAAATAATTTCTCAAAAGTAATCAGCGAGAAAAAGCGGTAAATTATAAAAATTTTAATATAGAAATAGCCATAATTATAATTATACGTTTACTCATTTATTTTAGAGTATAGGTTTTAGAGTATAGGTGCATGTACGATATATTTGAAAATTAAAATATATAATTTGATTTGGTAATATTGGCACTCACTATAGCAGCTAACTTTATCTAGCTTAACTATAATATTACTTGCACTCTTCCAAGTGTAAAATATAACTTCTCGAGTTTTAGTATCACAAATATAAGTGGTAATAATCATTTTTGCAAAATCTTTAGTAAAAATATTAAGTATTAATATCGTTGTTGTTACTTACAAACTGTTGATTGATGGTATAGTAGAATGCTTATTGTGCTTGTTATAATTCTTGGGGTGAGGCATTGCTTTGAAGAGATTGTAAAACAGCGAACAAGACAGTAATGCTTGTAATATACTGTTAATGTAGCAATAATTGTTGCGATTTGTTAAGCCTCGTGGTACTAAACTAACAGTCTGCATGTCCATCTGATATTCTAATAGAAATTCTGAAAAAAAAAATTTTTTAGATTTTAGGGAGACGCTGAGGTGGATAACGAATATGTAAAATGTCAATGACGTAGAGGTCACTAAACATGATTATATTATCTATATTTCTATACTATTCGTATTTCTTGTACATATAGTTCTTCTGTAAATATGTTTTTTATCCATGCTAGCTGAAAATATAACTTCGTAAAAATCTTTTTGTAAACTTTTCATATACTTTTGAGCTTTTATATTTAATTATAAAGATACAAAAATGTTCTTTGAAATTTTCGTTAGCGAAGCAAATATACGTGCATGTTGTATAAAACTTTTGTATCAAATAAATGTTTACGTTAACAGTTTGCGAGATGTTAATTTCAAAATTTGTTGTTTTCGTTGTATATTGAGCTCCAATTTATTATTGCATGTACTTTCAATATGTAAAGGCATTTGTAATTCGCTGGTTCGCTAATACTGAGTTAGAGGCGTTAGTGATGTTTTGTTTGAATTTATGTTAATGCATGTGTGCACGCACACACATCTAGTGTTTATATATGCATATTCGGTTCGTATATAGTCACACAGCACCAATGCCTCTAACGGATTATTCGAGAACTAGTATGTTGATCTTCTTTATCCTATTTGCTAGATATACATCAGCATACACATGTGCAAACAACTCGTGTGCGCAAATTCTTCAAAATTTAGTTTTCTAAATTGCATTCCGATGATCTTATTTTCGCATGTCATCTACATTTCGGTAATGTTTAATTTTACGTATATAAATTCTCAATGTTTAACATGCAACAAAAATATAGAATGTAGAATAGAGATGTCATATAAAATGATAGTTAAAACATTTTTCTTATATTTCGTAAAATATCGAGATATATTAACATACGTACATTTATACTGTACAAACATTTGTAATTCTATAAAATTAAATAATCTGCAAACTACAAAATCTGATAGCAATCACAAGTCTAACTTCCCTAATTTGCGCCAATAAATACTTCTATGAAACATTTATCTTTTCAAAATATTAGATGCTTTTTTATAGTTACCTCCCATCCTAAACAGATTAGGATCATCATAAAAGCCTTCCAATTCACCATTTTGGAGAGCCTTGCATTCAAATGAACTATTAGATGAAGCGTTTTGATGTGTAGTTGCAGGATCAGCAACTGTTGATTCCTTTTCAGTCGCTTTCAATACACCATTCTGCATTGGGATTGCATTGTGTGTTGTCATCTGAGGGAGGGAAGACACTTTTGGCTCAATATTGTTGAAAAGACTCGCCCAAGTTCGTTTAGTTGAGGTTGTCAGAACAACAGGTACAGGTGCAGACGGTGTGACATTTGACACGGCTGAGGAGTCATTCGACTGCTCAATAACATTCTCAGCTTTATCATCTTTTGGTGTAACGTTTCCTTCAATTTTAACTTCACCTTCGCTCGCCTTGTCGACGACCATTTCGGATATAACGGTTTTTGTCGAAACAGTAGATACTTCATTCTCATCCTTATTTTCAGTCTCCCCATTTTGCTTTACTTCGACGTTAACTGAAATACTTATATCCGTAACTACGTTCTCTTTAACCTTGCAGTTCTTATTTAGAGTCGATTTAACGTTGTCCTTTGGCGTGTTTTTAACTGACAGCATATTGTCATTGTCATTATTAACATTGGAATCCGCAGTTTTATCATTCTCATTGACCTGTTCACCCGCTGATTTAGCAGACGTAGACGTACTTTGTTGTATAGAAGTGGCTAATGGCTTCGTAGTTGGTGGATTTGAATCTTGAATCGGCAGCACTGGATGTGATTGTGGCACAAATCTACTGTCTGGTTGATGTGCCGGATGATGCGTCGGATTGTGCCCCGAATAGGATGGATGTATAGTATACGGATGTGAGTACATTGGCGGTACATAATAGATTTGTCCAGATACTGGATGCTGTTGCGGAGGCACAGTGTGATGTTCAGGGTAAACAGGTATGTACAGTGGCATCGAATGTTGATATCTCTCGTCACTTACGTATCCACCTTGCACCTTGTTGGCGTGATTAAATGTATAATTGTAATTGTCCTTCCTTGAACCTTTTACTCGGCCATTTCGTCTGCCGTTGTCTTTGCAGTAATTTGCATCGTGATGTACTTCCGGAGGGAGATTTTGGAAGTGATATTCGGATGCAGGAAAAATTCCCTGCACATATCCGTGCTGCATGTGTCCATTGGTAGGAACACTGTACATTGTCGAAGACTGCCATTCGTTGCATGCGCTACTATTCGTAATTACAAATGGTGTCACCACTGTAAATATAGAACAAGATTAGTGAAATTTCATTATATTTCAGGATTTTAATTTAATATATATATATCGAATTTTGATAAAGAAATATGAATAGAGATAAATCTCTTATACAGTAAAAAGTTTCATATTTATGCAGTTTTTAATTCTATATTTCGTATAATCTTGATTCGATATTTATTATAATTTTTCATATTTGCATACTTATAATTTCGTTTATTCCTTACTTTTCTTCTATTCATTTCTATTCTCTCTCTATCAAACTGCTTACTCAAACTATAGAAAAAGTTTCTTTAGGATTCACTGATTTTTTCTGGTGAATATGGAACTTTTGCTGTATATTACATATAGGAGACTAATTGTTTATATTTACTATTACATATTGATTATGTGAATAAATAAAACGGAACAATAAAATAGAATAGCAAAATTTACAATATAACTATTATATAATCATTTAGAAGTAGCATACTTACTATTGTACCAAACATTTGTATTATTTTGTATTTCCACTGGAATTTCTGTTCTTTGAACAGAATTTATATCGCTTTTATTTTCTATGACATCCTTACTGTCATGATGTAAAATATTCTTTATATTAAGTATTTCTATTTCGGTTAACCCGTCAAAATTTATAAATTTAAGATCCATCTAAAAATAAAAGAAAAGGATATAAGAATACAATACATTTCACACATACCAAAATTATTTTATGTAGATTATTTCACAAACATATTTCTGAATAATAATATTATTATAATAAGTATCTTTCAGATATTGCAATCCTTGTTAACTTCTTGATTCTTGAGTATAAGATAGGATCTTATACTTATTTACTCATAGGATTATTTTTGGATAAAGCAGAAATTAGTCGATATGCATTGCTGTATTTTATATACATGGTTTGCTTTTAATCACTTATTCTTTTTTTCAAATTTTCAATGACAAAGGAACTTAAGTATCACTTTCTATGTTGTAATAATAGAGGGATATGACAATTACAATACTTGATTAGTTAAATATAAGGCTGAACAGATGAATATATACATTATGAATTTTATTAAGAAAAACATAATACTTGTATTCAACAGGAATAGTAAATTTGTTTAGAACAAAGCAAGTATATAAGATAAGCTTCCTTTAAAGAAATCTCCTAAGAAATATCCCACGAAACACATCTATTATGAAACTAATGAAGCCAATGATTCTATCTTACATGTATATAATTGATGACTATATTCTAAATATGAAAAATTTAAACATCTCTTCGGACAATTATCTATAATTTCAAAGAAATGTTCCATAATTTTGCGGAAGTAAATGCGTTAATTGCTTAAATTTTATAAAGTTACCAGTGAATGTATATTTCATTTTAAATTTTTGTTACGTTCCCTGACATAATTAATGGATTATTAGAATTACCAGGGACTTTATGATAACACCGATGAAATACTTTTACTATAATATACTAAAATGTTGAAAAATTTCTGCGTAAAATTCGCCGAATTCGGCTCATAGACGCGGTAACATAACCTCAAAATTACAGTCGGTAGCTCGGATGTTATACTGTTTCAAGCTTAATCGCGTTCATTTCAGAACGGTAATAACATACCTTTTTCATAATATCCAACCTCGTCCGGAATATCATCCAAAATTAATACTAAGCATTAAAAACGTGGTACTTCAAAAAGCATGGGACGTCCGCACTTCACGAGATTTTAGAGCTAATATATCGCTGACACTTCACTATAGCGCGTTATGAAACGAGAGAGTATATGAAAATAAACCGAAATTAGTCCTGTTAACACTACGTCTCATACGGTAAAAAAGACTTGTTGGCTGATTAAGGAAATTCAGCACGTTCACACTTCAGCAGCTCTTACGAAGAGTGCAACACGTCTACTCACACCGAGTGACCAGAGCTGACTGAGAGCTGCTGAGAGCTGACTGTTCCGACTGCTCTGCTACGGTAAACGTTTGCTTGTGAAGATGGTAAGAGAAGAGAGGGTGAGGGAGAGAGGGGATCTCTTTCGCACTCTTGCTTTAAGTCTGTGCCTATTGGTTGTTCTGTTTTCCTCTTAAATCCTGGCCTGCAATAGGTGATTTAACTCCTAACCTTTAGGAAATTGACCAATCACAGTGAGAATAATACTCGATTGTGATTAGTCAATTTCTGAAGGCTTAGGACATGAGTCACTTATTGAAGATCGGGACTTACCAAAAAAATGGACCATTCCACAAGTGAAAGTGAATACAAATAACACGTGTTATTTCGTGATATTCTTAGAATATTTTTAGATATTCTTTGGATATCTAGTGCTATATGGGAATAGGCTTAAGATAGAAACGTAGAAAATCCAAACTTTTCCTTGGACTGGACTCGAAAATTTTACTTGACGTATAAAGTAGAAATGTGGAAGCGCATATAAATCATCGAGACAATAAAAAAACTCGCTATCTGTTGCGACGTGTTTGGAATCTGTTATGCTCATTTGCGGCCGAATAGCGGCGTTTGGATTTTCTACGTTTCTATCTTAAGCCTATTCCCATATAGCACTAGATATCCAAAGAATATCTAAAAATATTCTAAGAATAACACGAAATAACACGT